CTACATTGAAAGTTTGAAACTCTACCGTCTTCTCCTCTCTCTCTCACCATTATACTTCTCCTACTTTGTTATCTTCTCCGCAAAATTCAGAAAAATATCAGAGTTTTTTAAAAAAGCTTCTGAAATGTCAAAATGAGTTGCACAACAACTGACAAACTTGATTAACCCCCAAAAAAAATAAAAAATTAAAAAAACATTCAAGAAAAATGAAAGTGAGGATTTGAAGCCTTAAATTTTTACCAACAACATAGCTTGAAGCTTGAGCCTTTCAATTAGCACATGGAAATTTTTTATTTTTTATTAACTTATTTTGTTGGGTCAATTTGGGGCCACATAAATGTGACTGATAACTCAAAAGTGTCGCATGTTAATTTGATGCCACATAGCTAGTCATGTCCGTACATATAATTTTATCTTGTTTTTGGGTGGGCTAGTGATTACGTCAAAGTCGGACTTCGACCAGTCCTTCATAAATGAAATCATAAACAAGCTAGTACATATGCATTACTTCAATCCTCAAAATTATAACTACATGTTCTTAAATGAATTATTTGTGAAATTAAACGAATTTTGGTATAATTTAATGATCTTTTTATTTTTTTTTATAAGAAAAAAAGAACTACAACCGAAAACCACGCGGGCTCACAAGTACTACCAAGTCAAAATAAAACGGAACAAAACAGTTTAATGGAACAGCTTAATGATCTTTCTATGATTTGGGTTTATGTCAAAATCAAAGTAAAACTAAACAATTCACTACCAAAAGTAACTGAAATTACAATTATAGGAAGAGACAATTAACTCATGAACCAAAACAAAATATAAACTATTGAACAAAATACATTCAAAGAAGACCACAAGCCCAACCTCGGCCTCTCTTGCCTCTGCATCTCTTGCCTTCCTCCTGCCTCTCCCTCTCTTGCATCTCTTGCTCCTGAGGTGGTTGCGGAATGGGGAACGTGGGTACCGGGGCCGGCGGCTTCGGCGGCACCCTTTGTCGAACGGGTGGGTCTACACTAAAACATTCACACATATTAATTACCAGATCTGTGAGAGTTCTTATCTCTAAGTGTGATTCGGTCCAAGCCTGCATGTACGGCACATTTACTAGACCACCAGCTCCAGCGTCGACATAAGGGTGAGGGAACTTGATTGACAATATCGCTTGGTCCTCGACCACCACGCGCACCTTCGGAGAGTCCCTAGGATAACCTAATGGAACCCATATTTTGATTGGGGTTTTGTAATGCTGGGCCTTATAAAAGATGGGAATGGTTCCCTCGATCACCAAAACGAGGGGTTCTCCTTTCTGAAACCTACCCCTCGTCGGAACTAATGAAGGCATGTGAAAGAGCAACTGGATAACATCGGTAAGTATTCTGTGCCTATCTTGTATAGGGTAATCAAGTTGGCCCTCACCTATTAGAGTAATTGCATACTGAATGAGGTTTTGCTGAAGAGTCAAGTTTGGCATCGGAAGGAGAGAATGATAAAACCGTAATCCTGACGATTGATCCATGGGAAGAGCTGGCCGAAGGAGGAAGAGAAGGCTATTATGGTGATGACAAGAATATAATGAAATAGTGAGAGATTTATGCCGTTGGAAGTTCTTGTTATGGTGATGAGTAAAATATAGTGAAAGGGTGACAAAGTGAGGTCGATTTATATAGATGTTGGGTGACTAAGATTCCTGAAGAGATTAGAGTTTTTTATTTTATTTTAATTTTTTGCCTTTCCTCTTTTGAAAAGTTTTATGCAATTAGTTAGGGTAACCTGTGGAAGTTTAGGAATTTATTTTTTTTGTACGTTATATATCTGATTTCCCTTTTTTTTCCTGAGAAAAAAGGTGAATATCACTCGTATTATGTTGTACTTGTTTAGGTATGAGAAGTTACAACGATGGGATGATGCTATCAACACCTAAATCACGAAAAAGATCCCCCCCCCTAAAAAAAAGAAAAAAAAAGGGAAGAGAGGTGGGGGTCCTTTGTTTCCTATTCTGAAATTTTTTTTTAAAGGGGTAAGTTTTCGCAAGATAATTAAGTGTAGAAAAGTTAAATTCTAATTTGCTCTTTTCATGCATGAAAGACGTTGCATGTTTTGGCCCATTATTATTATTATTATTTTAAAACACATGATTTGACCCCAAAAACATGGTCGGACTAGTGACAAGGCTACCATGGGCTCTAGCCTAGGTAGCCTTTAAAAAATATTAAAAAATATTAAATGTATTTTTATGCGATTTCACCCTATAAAACATTACTCATTGCATACTCAACCTATAGGCTTATAATCATCTTATATTTAATTTATTTGCTTAGTTAAGGGCATCTCCAATGACATCGGAAATGTCAAATAATACGTATCAAAATTGAATTTGATGTCTGATAACTTTAGTTAATGGAGTTATGAACTAGCGAATCGAACTTGGGTACATTAACAGGGGAGGGGGAGAGTTTGGCGCACTTTTCCATTGTGGTGTCATTTTATGTGCGTAGTTTATAGGATTTAATGTTTACTTTTATTTATAGAAAACTATAGAAATTGGAAGTATTAAAAAAAAAAAAAAAAGCATTAGATATTAAGCTAATGACTTTAGCTAGCCGTTTGAAAAACACCTGGTTCCGCCCTTGCCAAAAATAAAATTATTGCATTGAAAACATACATGCTTATAGGCGGAAGGCGAGAGAAGCATGAACCAAATTGCATTCTCTAGAAGATGCCATTGCCATTACTAAACAACATAATGAATTAAATATTCTTGTGAATTTGCTGGTTTTGATTTGAATGTTTTTCTCTGGACATAAATTGGGGTTAGGTTGATACCACATGTAAAGAGATGATTCATATCATGTTAGTTTTATTTGAAATATCCTGTCACGCATTTGGCATTTGTAATGTACCCCGGGGAGGCTTCCTATTGCTATTTGAGAATAGCCAATGCCATAGAGTCAGAGGGAGCCACAGCCAAGCCACTTGATAATAAAAATAAAAAGCTTCTATTTCTAAAGTAAATAAATAAATGAAAAGAAAAGAGGGTGGAACAGAACACTCCGCCATTTCATGAGAACATTAACATGTTTTGGCAATCCCATCAGGTTACCCAAAAAGAAAGTTCAATTAACAAAATAAAGCAATAAAACAGACCTTATATTGAAAGTACCTTAATTTTGTTAAACATGCAAAAGGGACACCTAAAGAAACAAAAGACACAAATATGCAGATACAAGACCTAGTGCCATCTGCATGCCAATTCAATCCTATGAAGCCAAAAGTGTTTCCACCTTTGCAATTTGATCCTCTTCATTTTTCGGTGTTGGGCTCCTGTTGGCCTCATGATATAAATCATGCTTCCATTTCTCACCGCGACCACCACTAGATTGAAACCCTTGTCTCCCACTGAATCTATCTCTTCCTCTATAGTTGCGGCCCGCACCATCAGTGTACCTTTCTCTCGAAGGAAAGGAACCCTGCTGTGCCTCTCCCCTGTAAGGCAACCTCTCTCCTGTAAATTGCTTCTCAGATCTATCCAAGTGGCGTGGGTTGTTGCCTCTTTCCTCCCTTTTTCTACTTCCTTCTGCATCAGGATGGTTTGACTTTGCAATCTCTGCAGTTGTTTTGTCACCATTTTCAGACTCCAGTGGAATCTTCTTCTCCCTGAATGCAGGTCTTTTCCTTTCCGGTGGTGGATTAGCCTCCATTTCAAAGAACCCATTATGGCGCCAGGTCCTGTTTTCATCCCCCTTGGGTTTCTCATTTCTTGGCCGTGAATCATTAGTTGTTGTCTTGCTCACTGTCCTATCATCATGCCTATCCTTGGAATCCCTCCACGAACCACGTTCTAAAATAGAACAGGAAAAGTAAATTACACTACTAATACTGCAAATGATATTTTCCAGCCCAAGAAAAATAAAATACATACGTTGCATAGATTATGATGAAAAATAGCATGAACCTAGAAAAGAAAGGGTTTTTCCTTTCTTTTTTCTTCAGTATGATATTTAAATTTTAACATGAGAAAAGGAATGGTGATTAATAATTGAATAAAAAATTAAGATAAGAAATCTCACCGGCAGCTGAACCACGACGAGAGCTTCGATCAACTTGCCTGGCATTACCACGCTCATCGTGCTGCTATAAGACATGCACAGGCAAGTCTAATATTGTTATATACAAGGATGAACTTGAAGGAATAGGGCCGATCAAGAATCCCGCTACATCAGCCACGAAAAAAGGTTTTCATACACTGGATAGCAACCATATGAGTAAACTCAACAGAATTTCAGGTTATTAGACGAGCAATTTCCAAGTCATGCTGGAAATAAGGTTTAAGCATGTCTTCCAAAAGTGTTTCATGTCAATTCAATTGAAAGGAAACGTAATAAAGTTACAGTAGTTTCTTGTCCAGTTCTGCCAACTCATCTAGTAAGAAATATCTTACTTTTGAAGTAAAAGTTAATCCCCTAAACCACATAATAAAATGTAGAGTAATAACAATCACTTACTACAACCTGCTAATGCCTAACGATAAACCCACAGAAATGTAAGTGAACAACTTTAAGCCTCCTAAATTGCTCTAAACTGAGGAAAAATATGCACACAACTTTGGAAGGTAGTGGATGAGCTCCTATGGCAGTTCCTACAGCATACAGACTAAGGACACATTTAATACAGAAGACAGTTTCCCGTCATAGACTCTGAAGTTAGACACAGCCAAAAAAACATAAATAAACACAAGTTGCAATTCAGTAACTTACAATTTTGCAAGACGGTACAATTATTATCACTAAGCTAAAATATCTTCAGCAATAAGTATTTTACAAGATGATCTAGACATAGAATCAGAATCCTAGAAACACAGGATTCTGAAGATGATATGCGTGCTAGAGATTAGCTCATCATTATACAATAAAAGCAAAACACGTCGATAAGATTCATAAATCTATACCCCACCTGAAAATAAGATCGTGACCGGGGTACATCAGTTGGATCAGAAGAGAGTTTGGTTCCTTCTAGATGTCCACTGGGTTTCTTATCAGACTCTTTTCTGGATGCCCCATTTTCAACCTTCGAGTCAGTTGCTAATGGGGATTCAAGTGGCAATGTATCTTGCAGCCTGGGCTGGTGCTTTTGATCCTGGTCAGACTGCTTTGCACTTTCCGAATTACTTTTGCTGGTGACTCTCTCTTTTTCGTCTTTTCCATCCCTCCTAGACCTCTTAGGACTAAGAAAACCCATGAAAATCATTAAGAATGACATTCTACTTTTAAAAAAAAAACTATTCTTATCTCATTATAACCATGTTACAGACATTTTCCAGAGACAAATCAACTTTTAAATAACCTCTTTCAAACCCAAACTTAAATGAAGACTTAAGCAGAGCCTTACCACATAAAGCTAGAATCTTTTAATCAAATACGCATAAAAATGAAAGATTTACCTTGTTTAAGGCCACATATTTTTCCTTCTAAAATCTAACAAAACACATAAAAATACAAGCTTAAATTCATATATTTTCAATTTTTTTATTATTGAAAATCTCCAATGTTCTTCATTTATCTCATAAAATTGATAAAGCCAAAACTGAAAGAGAAAATAACGCAGAATAAATAGTTTTGTTAATACTATCATAATTCAAATTCACTACAACACTACAGCTTTCAGAGCAGTAACTCAGTTTTAATGCATTAAATCCTTAAACCCATTTAAGTCCCAAATTTGATTCACACACGCATGTTATGCAGAGACAAATGATACCTGGGTTCTCTGTCAAATCTGGAACGATGTCGTCTTGAGTCGGAATCCCGACTGTCTCGTCGCGACATAGGGTTGTGGGAATTGGGGAAGAGAGAGAGAGAGAGAGAGAGAGAGAGAGAGAGAGAGAGAAGAAGCAAAAACAGAAAAAGAAGAGCGGGAATCACATGGGGGGTGTTGTTTGGCGTGAGAGATGCGATTTTGACCGCAGGATCAGGGCCGGAAATTTGATCACAATTAAATACTCGGATTCGTGCCACGTCAAACTTTTCTTTTAATCCTTTTTTCTTTTCTGTTAGGATTGATATGGATATCTTTCTTCTTTTTATGCTTTTTTGCCGACGTTTAGTAAGGGAAAAGGGAAAACTCATACACACAATACAAATAAGCTTGAATCACTTGGAAGCACACCAAAGGTATGAGGCAATTCAACTAATGAGATTGAATTCAAGATCACAATTTGTTGTACTATAGCATGGATTTAATTTGGCTTTGGTTAATTTTTTTCTTTTCTTTTAAAATCAATGAGTGAGAGGATTCAAACATGAGTCCTCTTCTAACATTTCAAAGAAAAATATCACTATATCAAGAGCTAGTTGACATCAAACATTATCTTAGAGACGATCAGTCAATCATTGTTTTTTTTTTAATCAACCTTTTAAATTCTTTGTAGGTTAAATGATTTAGTGAGGTAGGGTTTTTCCATGTTAATAACCCCCT